TATATGCCCACACTTTTTGAACTTATAACCCAGGTGTTCATATTAGGTCTGTTAGCAACAACCTATTGGATCCTCTTGGAAGCCAGTTTGAGGTTGCTTTGCTCATAGCGCACTGCGTCCTTGGGAGTGTGGCCTCTCCTGTCTCTATTCCCACCTTTTACTATTGTCCCCAGTGCTAACTGAGCTCTAGACACAGGACCTTCACGTCTCCTCCTCTACAAGCCAAGCTCATCAGGTCTCAAGAATCTTTGCAATTATTTGTCTTTAGTCTGGAGTTACATGTACTTAAATCTTTTCATGGCCCACTCCTTTTTAACAGCTAGGTCACCTCAACTGTACAGTACTTTAGAAAGACTTTATTGGACCATCAAATCTCATGTAGCTATAACTTTTCTATTTAGTCTCCAGTATTGGAAACCATGCTTAGATATGATAGGAATTATGTAATTGCTTTTAGAGGTTTTTATTTGATGGCTCAATTCAAAAGCTGGAATAATATTTTGCTTCTTTGTTTTATGAAATAAGTTGTGATATTCTAAATACTACAGTTATACTATAGCTTCCTCGTGCTATCACTTTTGCTATGTTACAGCATAGTAAATATTCCTTCTTTGGTTTAGCTCTTTCTAAGTACATTGGAAACTGCATATAAGATGTGATTGTACAAAATTAGTAAAGTCTATCACAGTGCTCTACTAAAGTTTATAGAAGTGGAAAATAATCTTTAATAATTTTCCTCTAAGAGTAATATTTTTTTTCGTCTTTTTGAGATATGGATTCACTATGCAGTTCTGGCTGGCTTTGAACTCACTTTGTAGCCCAGGCTGGCCTTGAGTTCAAGCAGTCTTCCTGCCTCAGCTGACTGAGTGCTGGAACAACAGATGTGAGCCAGCATGACCAGCCACTGAGTACTCTCTATATGCTCAAATGATATTATCATACTAGAAGTTCAATTTTGTGGATCAGGTCAGCAGTCACCTAAACAATTACCTAAATAAAGAATAGTCTAGCTGAACCCCTAAATGCATCTAAATATCTGATGACATTTCTAGGAGTAACATTACCTTGTAATATGATGAAATCACAGATGTGTTAGAGTGGCCTTAGTCATGTGGTTTAATTGTCTTTTAAGCAATTAAAAAATAGACTTGTTTCCATTTTCCTAAAGAACTGTTATGTCATGTCAAAGGTTGATGGTGCGGGGTATTTTGGCTGTTATTTCCTCATTCGTACTGTTGTGGAAATATTACATTGAAGAACAACTATTAAAATAGCAATAAGAAATAAACTTTCATTTCACATGAAACACAAACCCAGGATTACTAACAGGCTGATAGTTTCTGCTTTCCTGAGACACACTAAAGGCTGAAATATACAGCCTTTTAATATCTGTCTTTATGAGTCACCAAGAAATAAAAAAAAACCAAGTCACTTTTGGGAGTAATTTGTTGGTGTTCTGCCATATGAGGCTCATTACTGTGATCTAAGTATCAGCCTTTGGTACTATTTGCAACTTTCAGGAAAGTCATTAATGAAAGCTTCCAAAAAATGGACTATAGCAAAGGTCTTTGGGGCTATTCATACATTCTCAGTACTGATGCTACTTTGATGAATGACTTGCACTTGAATACAGAACAATCATAAAGCATTCAGCATTGGTAAATAGAGGGCAGTTAAAGTAGATATCCCAAAGTATACTTAACTTTGCAAAGCATGGATGAGATGATTATTGCCCACAGCTGCAGAAATGTTATTATGACAGGGGAGACATGTAAATTGAGCACATAGGAACAAGGAAGAATTGGTAAGATTTTACCAATTTTCCAAGCAAACTCTCATCATCAAGCAGAAAAAAAATTAATATAGTCATGAAGCTCTTAATTTAACAAAAATTAAGCAGACTTTTCTATTCTCTTAGGTGCTAGCTGTTTAAAATAAGTTTTCCAAACACCAATATATAAAGATTTTATGATTTCTTAAATCGATGAACTTTTGAAATGCTCCTGGTTCTGCCTGAATTTCAGGGATGAGATGTGTGGGCAGTTCATTTACTAACATCTTTGGAAAATAACCCACAGCACCTCTATCGAACTGGGTCCATATGCAATTAGTTGATCAGTAAGGCAGGATGCTATCAGTGGCTTGGTGGCTGACCACAGCTGCAGCTTCTGTCTGACCCACGGGAGAGAGTAGCAACATTGGTGTGCCTATAGAAAGCATTTGCTGCATTGAAGGCACGACATCCAGGATTCCATAGTCTCTACTCAAATGTTCAAGATTTCCACAAACACTTGGGGGTGCATTTGGCATGTTTGGAGTGATCAAACCTACAACTAGAGGAAGTCTTGGGAATTTTGGCTACATTTGCTATCTCTCACTCAGAATAGCTATCATAGATGAGATTTCTTTCTCTTCTTTCTTTCTTTCTCTCTCTCTCTCTCTTTCTTTCTTTCTTTCTTTCTTTCTTTCTTTCTTTCTTTCTTTCTTTTTTTCTTTCTTCCTTTTTCATTTTGTCCGGTTACATTTGCTTGAATAAAAGAGCCATTTTTGTCAAGCATGTTTTGAACCTTCTAAATAGGCCAAGAAAAGGTCACAGCACCCATCTAGAACAGTCTGCTACCTTCAAGCAGGTGAAGTTCAGGTTGTACTCACAGATTAATTTTACTGATCTCATATGGATAAGCCACTCTGAATATGTTTCAGCTGAAACCTAGATCAAAACTATCACATGAACACTTAATTAAAATAATGAAAAAATTCATGGCTATCATTCCTGTAAGTACATATTGGTCTTTGTTCAACTTCGAATTCATTATATTTTATATACATGGAATTATACATTATACGCATGGAATTTTCATTCAAGGCAATTAATCTAGTAGATGTAAACTATACAGTGAAAGAAAGGACTTGAAAAGCTAGAAAAAATCCCTGTGAATTTTGTCTAAACTTTGTGTTACTAAATTTCTGAGGTCACTGTTGATAGATACAAAGGCAAGTAAGCTTACAGATAACACAGTATCAGTTTTTAGAAAATGATCTGTAAGGATCTGTAACCAAAAGAGAAAGATTAAAGAACTAAAATGTGATGATGTGCCCATTGTGGGAAACAGCTATCAAAAGGCAGCAGGCATCTGGGAAAAAACTTTCTTTTTCATCTAGAGGCCAGAAATACGTTGGCATTGGCTCTGGAATTGGAACAAAACCAATTTTTAATTAGTTTTAAACTCTGGAATGGAACACTCCTGCAGTCATCCATGAATCGACCTTATCCTGTAGAGGTTGAGTGACTTTTGGCCAGCCATCTATCTGCCTTGTGAATTGTTTTGTTTGGGTTCCTCATGGGACAGAGAGTACTTGTTATGCAGTAGTTTCATGTCAAGTTACAGTGCTTCATAATGTTGCTTGAGCAAAGAATTCAGAAAGTGGAAAAATCTTCAGAGACAAATATTAAATGCCTCCACTAATTTGTCTTGTAGCTGGACAGACCTGCAAGACTGGAATTACCACCTGCCTTCTTCCATTCATCAGCAGGATGATAGCTCCTTCAATGAAGGCTTAGTCTTGTTGGTGAGAGACAGCTGGGCAAATAGATTACATTAGTAAAGCCACACAGGTATTTTAAGATTGATTTCACTATTGTAACTGTGAACTTCTGTAAATTCTGGTTGAATTTTCTTGAAATATATGTACTACCAAACCAGCAAGAACAAAGAATTTTTCCTGCCAGTGCCATGGCTCGGAGGAGGTGCTCTTCATCTTGCATCTACACTGCTCCAGCCACAGGGGCGTGAGTGGCAAGAGAAGACTCAGTTCCTCACTTCTAAAACAAACGTGCAAACCTGTTGTGGATGTATAAGTTGAAACTACTTCATAAATTAAAAACCCACTTTCTCAGGTTCGGAACAAGTGGAGTGACTAAGCCTCACCAAGGACTCCCAGCATTTAGGTTTGAATGGCTGCCTAAGCAGTGAAAAAGACAGAAGAACACGAGATAGATAGCTATACTACTAATCTCTGTAAGCTCATCAAAGAAGTTTATGCTTTCATTGTTTGGCTGCTTGATAGTTTTTTTCATGCCTAAATCTTGTAATGTGAGCAACTACCTCTAATATAACAATATGCAATATATTAACTACTGCTAACTTTCTATTTTTTGAAATTTTGTATCATTTCTATCCTTATTTTTTTAAATTAAAAAATGGAGCTGTACAATCACAACAATAACAATAGCTTGAATGTATGAAATTTTCAATTCTCGGACATGCTTTTAAATATATTGGTGGGAAATGCCATATTTTAATTTCAGAATTCTCTATGGCATCTTCTCTGAGTAGTATAATGTTAAAGTTAAACCAAGAAGAATGGAATCCCCGTGGAGCCACAGCAGACAGAGAGGTTCTGAGATGTGTTACTTAGTTGGTGATTATGTAGTGATGGGAATCCTATTTCAGAGTGTAAACAACTTAGTTAAATGCATAAAGAAAACCATGTTTGCAATCATTCTTGAAGCATATTAATTGGTATACATGACCATAAGTGATATACTGGCATCTATTACATCTGATTAAGAGTACAGCTTGATGTCATATTGTACACTTAACATTTTTTATAGTTATTGAAATATAAATTTCCTTCTTCAGGGCAACACTGAAGAACCATGTATTTTAGTATGTCTTCAGTTAATGCACATAGATATTCTAGAGGGGCATCTGTAGGCTTCAATCCCATGTCTACCATTTATTATTTGTATGCCTTTCCATAACTCATTTTTCAATTTTGCCTTAGTTTCTTCATCTGTGAAGTGAAGATAACAAAAATATCTCAGTGTGCGAGTGAGAAGGTGAAGATTAAATGACTCAACACTTTTTAAAACACAGGAGTGTGTTCCAGTGTAAGTACGCCATGGATATTTGCACTTAGTCAAATGTTTCAGCACAGGAAACAGAAGAAAAGGATGCAAAGTCACAAATCCAGGGTGCCGGGACTTCAATATTCACCTATAACACAGAAGGGCTTTCGGGCAAACCTCAGTCTTCCTTGCCATCCTCGATACCGACAGCAGCAACCTGCTGACCAGATTCGGATGATGAACTCCAAACCAAAGACGACGATCATTACGAATTCCTAAAATATCAGACAAGACATATCAGAGAGAAGCATTCTAAACACAACAGTGAGGAGCTCTGTTACTATTTCTGAGTGTTTAGGTACTTTGTCAAAAGCATGTCATGGTGAATGTCTAAAATTCACAACATCTTTTAACAAATAAAACCCAAAGAATACCAAACCTCTACTCTGTCTAAATCTCCCAGAATAGAATCTGATTAACCTTCAGGTCACTGATACTACCTATTTAAGAATCAATCTCAATCCTAAATTTATAAGTCAAATAATGATTCCATCGCTTCTAAAATATAATGGATAGCTGACCTAAGCTACTGGTTTCATATGAAATATCTGAGTTGAAAGAGTAGATTCTGAAATACATACAATCAACAAGTTCTAAACGAACAGAATTTTCATTTTGCTGCAAGGAGTGACATAATCCCTAATCCTTTAAGAGTTGTTCTCAAACAAGAAAGCAGTAACTACTTAGAAGCACACTAAGCTTTTTTTTTTTTACAATGTCAGAATCTCCTCATAAAACAGTGGGTTTCAAAAGTCTTACTCTATATGTGGCACATATATCTATTGCCAGAAACGAGACCCCAAATTCTCTATATCTGAAACTTATTAATATCATGCTGCCTTTTGGCAGCAGCTGCCTGGAAAACAACACCTGTGCCAGAAAAATGACTTTGAGATTATTTAGGAAGAGCTGTGAGTTAACCTTGGGGAAAGGCCAGCTAAAGTGGCTCATTAAACAGTCAGTCAGAGGAGGGAAAACCAGATGGAATTTGTAAAAGGGAAGTATGTCTGGCAGAAGATCAGCACAGTCACTTGTCCCTAAACGGACTGGTACTGAATTACTAAAACTGGTTTCTTTTAGAATTTCTTTTCTTATTTTTAAACAAGGATTGACTCCGCATTTATAATATACAACAGTATTTGTTAATTGATTTTTTATTATAACAGCTCCATAATAAAAGCAATGCAGGGTATTTTTTAAACTTCAAATATCACAGAAATGCGTAGAATTATGCAAAGTAAAAGTTGCAATTCACACCCCATTCTCTCACCCCATGCCCAAGATAAAAACTGATTTATAACAATGGCATTCATGATTCAAGTTTCAGACACATGCCTTTTTTTTTTTTTTTTACTGAGAGTGTGTAATGATATGCGGCAAATTTGAAATGCCTACTAGAGACATATCATTCTATCCTTCTGTCATTTTGCACTGAATAATTCACAAATTCTCACACTAGGAAATAAATTTCCGACATTGTAATTGCTTACTCACAATGATTTAGAACTACTTAGAAGATACATCCTGAAGTTGACTTTCTGTACTGATAACTAAAATATCATTAATATACTTACTTACTCTCTAATAATCTGAGGGATTTATTTAATTTGCATTTTGAATATATATCTGTTGAGTCTATTCAAAGTGTTCAGTCATCTGATTTAAATCCAGAACATCTTTCCACACGTAGAAACGATACTGAGGCCTAAAATACCCAGGTACTTACTGTACCTACGCCCCGCCTGTGTATAGTTGCAGACCCATTCTTTTTCTTATTCTTGCTACTTCTTAAAATTTTGTTTTAAAGAGAAAAAACACAATAAAAACAATGATGTAGAATTTCAAAACAAGATAGTAGGAAGTTAACAATGGTTAATATATTGAGCATTATCTTCAGAGCAGTTGCTCAGATAGAGTTAGTTGCAGACATAGGCCTACAAAATTGATCAAACAATGTAAGCACAAAACCATTCTTTTCAATGAACTAAAAGAAATTAGTAGTATAATTACCTTAGCTATCCTGTATGTGTATAAATATATGTTTATTTTTTTCATTACCTTCTTGTATCTTTTACTTCATCCTTTCCTTTAGAGCAGTTTCTTGGCCTTTCACAATATTCATTCTACATTTTGGATTTTACTAATCTAAGTTTCTTATACTAAGAAGATAATGCAATGTTTACACATGTGTGCTTGATTTATTTCACTTACAAATGTGGTCTTTAGTTGCATCCATTTACCTAGAAAAGCCTCGAGTTTATCCTTCTTTATAGCTGAGTTGTACTCTATTATATAAAAATACCATATCCTTTATATCCATTCCTTAGTTGATGGGCATTTGAGTTGTTTCCAAGATTTAGCTATTACAGATTGTGCTGCTATATACATGGGTGCACATATATACATGGTATACAAAAAGTACAAAGAATCAACACATTTATATATTCTTACCATTTCTTACACTAGGGAGATTATACAGTATTTATACATGTGAGTTTGATTTATTTCGTTTATGAGTATGGTCTTAGGCTGCATCCATTTATTAATAAATATCTCAATGTGATCATTCTTTATAGCTGAGTAGTACTCCATTGTATAAAAATACCACAGCTTTTTTATCCATTCCTCAGTTGATGGACACTTAAGTTGTTTCCAAGATCTGGCTATTACAAATTGTGCTGCTATAAACATGGGTACACGTATATCACTGTGGTATAATGTTTTTGGTTCTTCTGGGAATATGCCTAGAAGTGGAATAGCTGGGTCAAATGGGACTTCCAATCCCAGCTTTTTGAGAAATCTCCTGTGGACTGACCTTCACAATGGCTGAACCAGTCTACACTCCCACCAACAGTGCAGGAGAGTTCCCTTTTCCCCATAGCTTCTTCAGCATTTGATGTTGGTAGTGTACTTGATCCTGGCCATTCTTTTAGGAGTGAGATGGAATCTCAGTGTGATTTTAATTTGCGTTTTTCTAATGACCAATGATGATGAACATTTTTTTATGTATTTATTTGCCATTTGTATTTCTTCATCTGAGAACTGTGTATCCATCTCAGATGCCCATTTTTGGACTGGGTCTTTGAATTTGGGAGGCCTGAGATTTTTCAGTTCTTTATATGTTCTAGACTGAAGTCCTTTGTCTGAGGGACAGTTGGCTAAAATTTTTGTCCGTTCTGTGGATTCTCTTTTCACTCTGTTGGTGATTTCTTTTGATGTGAAAACTTTTTTAACAAGATGAGATCCTAGGTGCTGATTCTTTGTACTTCTCATGCAGTGTGATTTTGTTCATAAAGTCTCTTCCTATACCTCTGTCTTCAAGATGTCTATCTACTTTTTCTTCCAGGAGACACAGTGTTTCTGTTTTAATATTTAGAACCTTGGTCCGTTTTGGCTTTAGTGCATGGTGATAGACATGTGTTTTTCTTGCTATTAGCTTTGATTTAAACCAGTAAGTTTGGCATTCAGGTGATGAGAGGTCATGCTATAAAAGATACCCAAGAAAAAAATCTCAAATGTGGCCCAAAGTACTACCATGCAAGAATTCTTCCATTTCATAAAAACAGATGGCAGCAAGAGATGTATACCCATTATTCTTAAGAAAACTATGCCCAGGCCTCTGCATTACTTCTGCATTGCAATGGGACAAATTAAATTACATAGGAACTGTAGCTATTAAAAATAAGAGAATCATATGAATATTATCTACATAAATATGAAAAATCAGGAGAAAAGGATCAAATTCATGAAAACTTGACAGAGGAGAAATAGATGATCTTAATAGTCTCATAACCACTAAAGAAATCGAATTTTTAATTAAGAAAGAAAAGAAAAATGTCCATGCCAAATGGTTCTATTGCTATTATCAGTCAAATACTTAAGAAAAAATTATTGCAATTTCATATGATTTCACCCAGAAAACAGACGAGGAGAAAAACACATTCTGATTCATTTTTCAAAGGAGACATAATTCAATGGAGAAAGAATAGCCTTTCAAGAGTCAATCCTGGAGAATACCCAACCCTACCTGTAAAACTCCTTAAAAACCCGAACCTCTCTGTGTACAAATGTCAAATTAAAAGGTTCATAGGCTTAAATATTAAACATAAAGCAACAAGCCTTTTAGTGAGAAATATTACAGAAGATTTTGGGGATTTAGCTAAACAAGAGCTCCTTGACATCAAAAGCACAAATAGTAAAAGAAAATTTGATACATTTGCTGTATCAAAATGAAAATGTTTGGCCTGTGAAAGCTTATATAAAGAGGGAAAAAGACAGATTATAGACAAGGAAAAAATTCTTGTAAACTACATATCTGATGAAGGGTTAATATCTAGAATATATAAAGAAATCTGAACATTCAACAATGGAAACATTTAATTGCAAAATTGGCAAGATATATGAATAGAATTGTCATAGCAGATGCTGCATGCCAGAGAGGGTGTACTGATCACAAATAATCACATGGAAAGATACTAGACATCATTAGTTGTGAGAGGAATGCAAAGGAAAACCAATGTGATATCATTATACTAACATCACAATGCTTGAAATAAAAAATAGTGACCAAGAATAGCTACAACACAATATGCTGGGGAGACTAGGGGGAAGGCAGGTCACTTACACATCGTTGATGGGGACTAAAATAGTACAACCCATCTAGAAAATAGTATTCCCATAAAAAAAAGAGTTACTACCTAACTTGGCCTTTGACCTCTGGCATTTATTTTAGGGAAACGAAAGCTTATAATTATACAAAAATGTGTTCAGAGCAGATTTATTCATAATGGCCAAAACTCTAAAACAGCTCAGATGTCTTTTACCATAAGGACAGTTAAACAGGCCGTCTTCTGTCACTACCATGGACTCTTCAACAATAAGAGTGGATAAATTAATACAACAATCATTAGGGAATTAAGAGGCATGAATAAAAGCCACTCTAAACGGTTATACAGTATAGTATTCCACTGATTTTACATTTTTGTAACATTTTGTAATGGTTTCTAAAAACATTTAGAAACGGAGAACACATCGGCGGTAGGGATTGGGTTAGTGGCGGCAATGGGGAAGTGGACGGCTGGAAGGGAGCCAGTGGCTTGGTGATACAAAGGGCGACTTGAGAGAGCCTTGAAGGGCTCAACTCTTGCCTGTCCTGGTAAGTACACAAATCTGAAAGTCATAAAATTGAATAGAGCTAAATGCACATAGACAAATA